GTGGTGGCCAGTGTTTGACCACCATTTGGAGCAGATAATAAGATTGACTTGGGGGAAGAGGAGGAAAAAAGGGGAGGAAGAAGAGAAAGGAAGAGGAGGAAGAGGAGAGAGAGGAGGAAGAGGATGGAAAGGAGGAAGAGGAGGGAGAGGAGGAAGAGGAGAAGAAAGAGAGAGCAAAATTTAGATTATCACTTTCAGGATTATTAAAGCCTGCTTACCGGTACTTTTGCTCTAGCAACAAGCCGTGTACTCTTAAACATCTTCCCCATCAATGGTGTCAAGGACTTCAATAGCTTAAGCTGTTCCTTCTTGCTACTGCTTCGAGGGTTTTTCCACTTTGTCTCGTACACGCACAAATCCACGTCGGAATTTTCACGAAACAGCAACGTCGCAGTGGATCCAAACACCGCCACATTCCAGCCCCTGTACACCTTCTGAATTGACTGAGCGACAAGGTTTCTTCCACTCAGGCGGCGTTTGTATTGTTGCAGCAACATTTCTTTGTCCTCTTCTAGACGCTTCATCAAGTCCCTAGATATAACGTCCACTTTCGGTCCCTTGAAGTGAATCTCACTGACGTCTTGAGCGAAACCACTCGGAACAACGCGTTGCTGCGCGGCAGAAAAACTACAGGCTAAACCAGTTTTCCTTTGTTCCCGGATGCTTGCCATGACGTCATCAACTACCCAGGGAAAGCTTAGAAACCGTGTGGGTTTTGGACCTCCACGAGGAGTACTGGGCGCTTCGGCATATGCTACGTGGTACCAAGCAGAGCCCTTTCGGTGCATTTCATTGCTCTGAAGGTTTTCTGCCTTGTGTCTTGATGTATCCATTTTGAATTCCTCGAAAAATCGCTTTCTAAACTTCATCCGGACGTCATTAACGAGTCTCTCGACGATTTCGGCGACTTCAGTGCGTTCTCTGCTAAGACGCTTGTGCAGTTTCCGAAAACATCCCGATACCAATTCGGCTTCCGTGTTAATACCATATATGGTCATCAACCTATCCAAATTCTCGCTGTACTCCGAGTACAAGTCACGAGCCTCCTTAACATACTTCTTGTAACCCTGGACAACAAAGGCGCGGTCAACTACAGGTCTTTGGATGTCAGTCGGAAGACTATGCTCAGCGTTTCTCTTAAAGGCACGGCAAGCACGATAGAGCTTACCTAACAGTTTATTCGACTTGTAACTTGGCTTGTCTGTCTTCATCATGAAGTCAGGATACTGGTCTAGACCTAAATCTAATGACTTAACGTCAGGCCAAACCCCAGTCTTAGGCGCGTCAACTGCTAACGAATGAGCTTCTGCCAATAATAAGCACTTTTCTGACTCCACTCCTTGGGCCTGACGATCTGCGTGCGCCTTGTGTGCATTATCGATGACCCCAAGTTGATCACTTCGTATGTAGTCCATTATAAAGCTGGTCATGTCGGCTGGGGTGATGTCAAATGGCGAGCGTTTTTTGGGGGGTGCTGTGTAATCCATTGGCGGGAAGAGGTCTTTTTCTGGATGTGAGAAGAGATCTTGGTGCCAGCTAACGAAGTAAAGATCTCCATCGAGGTCTCCGCCTGTAGAATGAAAATAATGTCATCTACTACCAGTACCAGACTCCTTTGCACACTTTTTTTTGTTCAGTTAATTAGGACTAATTGTCTTAGTATTCTCATGAGGAAATAAAAATTTGAATAAGAAAGAAAATTCGCGAAGCATTTTGGTAGTGATAGTAAAATGACGCCATCACGTAAACGGCTGATTAACCGATTTTTTATCGCTATTTATCATCTATCTGAGAACCAGACCCACGAGTTTTCTAGTGCTTCCGTCCATTAACCGCCACCCGGTTAGCTCGGTTGGTAAGAGCGTCGGTCTGTTGTGCGGGAGGTCGTGGTTCAAGCCTGGGCCGGACCAACACTCAGGGTTTTACAATAACTGAGGAGAAGGTGCTGCCTTTGTAATTACATCTGCAAATGGTTAGACCTTCAAGTCTTCTCGGCAAGGACTTAAAAGCGTAGGCCTTGTCTCCCAACCCTTCCTAACCAACAGTAAATGGGGGACATAAAAGAACCTGTTGAATTATTCGTGTAAGAGTAGGGGATTGTCTCCCGGTTCAACAGCCTATCCCAATCTGGAGGCATTAATACTAACTTACTAACAAATCACTCATGGTTGTAAGCTGCACGGCTGCTACTAGCGCCTAAATACGCAGCCCGTAAAGTCCTCCACTGGTCATGATTGTGAAGCGCATTGAGACCACGTAAAATGCGCTATATAAGAACCCCGTTATTTATTTATTTATTTATTTATTAAACTTACATTGGTCGAAGTAATTAATGTTTTGGTTGATTATTCTTTTAATTTATTTATTATTTATTATATATTTATTTATATGACAATTATGTTGAAAGGATAGCCGTTTTGGAAAGTGGAAGAAATGGAGTTTGGGACAATAGTCCAGTTTCGAGTGAAACTTGACGGACCTTAACTGGAACACGTGAATATTCTTCCCAAAATCGAGGCTAAGCCTGAGTAAATGAGTCTGTAATCAAGAAACACAGCGGTAATTTGGAACTCGAAAAGGGTCTATTGATAGATGGAATGAGGGACGAGGAGAGGAGAAAAGAGCAGAGTATAATTGGACCGACAGAATGGATATAGTTTACACTAACCTGCCATCTCGCTCGGATGCGGCCTAGGCCCAACACTGGGGAAAACAACACAATCTACAAGATGTCTTAATTGAGGCGTATCCACGGCAACCAGCTTCCTGACATCTCCCGGATGTAGACATGGATTTCGTGTGACCATCACTGGTCCCTTCAGAACGATCTTCTTGGTGAAATCAAATTCCTCGTTGCTTTTTGGGTTGGTGGATACTGCTGAATACTGCACGAAAACCTGGTGGGAAGATTTGCCAAGATATTTAATAAATAGACGAAATAATTAAGAAATAGTTGACGGGTTTACGTGCCGTGCCCATTAGGCTGTGACCCAGATGAACGGCACTCGAGCGATGTGCTTATTTTAACGAATATGAATTTCGTATCTTGACCGTGCCGTACTGTAACCGTGAAGGAGTATGACCGTGGCGTGCGATAATCGTGCTACACCTTGATCTTGCTGTACAGTGAAATTGCTAAGTGGTGACCGTTGTGAAATTACCGTATGGTGACCGTGCCGTACTGTCAAATTGCCGTACGTTTACTGTGCCGTACCTTGAAATGGCCGTAAGGTGACTGTGCGTGCATGCCGTACCGTGAAATTGTTGTACGGTAACCGTGCCGTGATCGTGCGCTGTCTCGGCTATGTTCAGTCCTTACCCTCGTAAAGTTCAGTCCTTACTCTATGTTCAGTCCTTACCCTCGTTATTATTAAACATCTACCTTGATGACTTAATAATTCGTGTAATAAACAATACCTGTCCATATTTGAGCGTCCCAGTTTCATCCATCACACCCATCATCAATCTTGCTTTATCTGCAGGTAGCTTGATTCTCGCTTTAGTCAACAAGCTTTGTAAGCTGTCATAGTACACGGCGGCGATAACACATCGAAAGAACGGCTCTACAGTCAGGGGGATGCCTGCCGCAGAAAGACTGCGATATTCTATACCAATCTTTACTGCTGAGGACATCTGTTGAACGGCACGACGTTCATCTAACAGCATCCCTGATTTTAAAAAAGAACAAAGTATAAAAGGTAATAGAGTGCCAAACACACAGCAAATCCGTAGTCAAGTATCCTCCTTTGCAGACGTTGTTAGGGTCATCACACAACGCTTCTCTCCCCAGAAGAAGCGTTGCGTGACGACCCTAACAACGTCTGCGGAGGAGGCTAGTACTCATGCCGTCTGTATATGTGTTTTCTTCTCTAATCAAGAGGTTCAAGGTCTAATGTATGTGCGGAATATGTCGTACTTTCCGTAAACCAAACTAATTAAACATTCGCCTAACCATCCATACCTGCTAGATTATTCAAAGCCTCTCGCATAAGCTGTTGGAACACTTCCTCTGGCACTCCCAGGTTAGAAAGAAGCATAATCACCTACAAGAAAACGAGCAACAACACAAGTTATTTCTCCTGTGCTGCGAGGGTTTTTCTTCAGGTTCTCCCTTGCAGTAGTTTTCTCCCTCCGTAATAATCAACTTCTAAATTAATTCCAACTGGTTTTAACGCATCGAAAGCTTAAGGGACACTTGGACGAAAAACCGTCAAAATTAGAAACTGATTATTCCTAGTTGAAGTACGTAATTTAGCGATGAATATGGATGACTTTTAACAACTACTCTACCAAAAATTCTTCATGTTTTAAGCACGTTATCCTCAAGAAATTTTAGGTTAAAAGCTAAAAGAACAATGCTTGGGTTGAGTAAACGGCGTCATTTACTCACAACTTCATATTAGATGCTACAATAATTGATAATTTTTAATTACCACTTTTGACTGTGAAGAAAATGTTGGTTGTCGACTATAGAGGTTTTGCACCACCACGTGACGACAGCCATGTTAGATGGCTGGCATACAGTCTTTTTACATGAGAAAGAATTCAATTCCCAAAAGCAAATGGATTCTATTGTTCTGCCATCTAACCACAGGCAGTCCAAGCTTTATTATGGTGCCGGCACGTGATGGTGCAAAACCTCTATTGGGACACCCTCTGGAACTCACGGGTAAAGCTCTGTCGCTCGATCGTTTCTCGCTCCCCTATTTTTTTTTCTGGGAGCGATAATTAAAGGGGCGACAGAACTTTGTCCCTGGGATTCCGAGGATGGTATTGGGGGTGGCCATATAGATAAGTTTAACCAAGTCTGCATCGGGAGAATGCCGAACAATCAGCAGAGTAATAAGAATATTGTTTGTTCAAACCTGATGGTTTAGGAAAACAGCTTGTGGACGCGAGGTTTGAATAACTTCCAATCTTCGATGTGTTGATTCAAACTTGCGCATGCTTGGACGAAAATACGCCTCCTTGCCAGACAGCCGCGAGTCAACTGCTAAGACTCCTTTGTAGCCAGCAAACCGGATTTGGAAAGCAGATGGCCTGAACTTCTTTCCGACCTTCTTTAAAACCTACAAAATTTCACGTCATAAGAAACTGATATATAGCTAAAATTCTCTCCATTAATGATTTCGACTCAGACAATAGCTAACCCATTGTCGTTGTAGCAGTTTTTGCAGTAGATCAAGCATTGTATTATATCCATCAATATATATATATATACACCTATTTCGAAAATCGTTGTCGAACCAAGAGCCTCAAGTAACAAGCCAAGGCTCCAGAGAACGTCGGTACTTTTAATTATAATTGATTTATTCATGGTTCATGCAAGTGGCTATAGCTCTACATTAATTATCATCTCAAGCAGCCTTGCTTGGAGCAATTTGCGAAGTCAATAAATGAAAATGCACCATGAATAAACTAATTACAGCTAAAAGTACCAGCGTTCTCTGCGGTCTTGGCTTGTTGCTCGAGGCTTTTGGAGCGACGATTTTTGGAATAGGTGTATACAGTCAATGTCATTAACGTTGTTCACCGAAAAAAGACATTTGCACGTTTACACATTTACACATTTAGACTAAAAGAAATATCACGTGTTTCATTATGTATTCTTTGCCTCGTGTGCGTCAGCCTGAACTTTAAATGCAAAATTCAACTCGTGAATCGAAAATCCAGAATGCCCCGACTATTTAGTGAGGATTTAAGATGGAGAATGGTATTTCAGCGTTTGTTTTATGCCAGAAGGTTCGAGGAAACACAGGCCTTTTTGGAGGTTGTTGTGTCTCTCGTTGGATTCAAGGGTTTTTTTGGGGGGTTCTCCGGTCTTATTCAGGAACGAATAGACTACTTCGACGATACGGCGGCCATCTTGCCAGGGGGCAAAACGAAACAAAGATGACAGGAAAAATATAGTCTCGTGTGTTTGTATATCTTTTTGGGTAAAGGTGATCGTGACGTCTTAGTTTGTCGTATTCTTTCGTTGTGAGCTGTTAATATCAATCGACTTCATTAATGAAACAAAGCTTTATTTTGCAAACTGATAATGCCTAGCGATCCAAGATGGCCGCCGTATCGTCGAAGTAGTCTATTCGTTCCTGAATACTTCGATTTGTGAGTTTGCCATTTTTCCCCCTGGACGTTTCTTCGTTACCTCCTTGGCGAGTTCCTGTGATAATCCGCCAACCCCATCAGAAAACGTATACTTCCCGTCTTCAGTAACAATATCGTTTTGGTCATTCCAACGAACGCCATCATCGATGCTTATACCAACGGTGTCCAAGGATGTCGAAAAACACTGACCCATTCGTGAAACATACGTACCAACACACCTGGAAAAGACAAGTGGATATATAATACCTTAACTCAGGAGTGGTGTTGGCCGGTAGCGGTGGTGGTATAGTGGTAGTATTGGAAATTGTGGTCAATGTAGTAGTAGTGTTGGTGGTGTAGTGGTAGTATTGGAGATGGACGTCATTCTACATACGGTGGTAGTAGTGGTGGTAGTGG